AACAACTTAGTTCACAAAGATCGATTCGATCTTATATACGTAATACGTAGATTGAGCCAAAAAATTTATGATCAATCACGAACAGTTTGATCAGGTGATCAATCATCTCCATCATTAACGACAAATTTAGGCCTTTTAAGTTTTTGCATAAGCTCACACAAAGTTTCTTAAATAAAGCTGTTTCTGAGGTTTCTACTAGTGCTACAAATCGTTCAAAATTTTTCAATCGATTAATTGCTTATGTTTACAACTAGTTGCAACTAATCGATTAATTGATGAGTTTCAACTAGTCAATTAATCGATTAATTGATTAATTGATATAAATTATAATTAATTGATTATTGGGTTTGACAATTTCATACATAGACATCGAGTTGTTTTAAGAAATCAGAAATCTATATATAAGACACAAGGTTCAAATCGCGATTTGATTGGCCAGTCAATTTCTGCGCACAATTTTCAGCACGTGAATCTATATACGTAATCTGTTTCCGGTTGCATGTGTATTTACACATGAGAATACAGCCGATCATGCGTATAGCAAGCGAAATAAGCGCATAATTGTAGAGATAAAAAAAACTTCAGAGACAGAAAAAAACATATCTGGCTCTACGCATAAAAGAATTATGAATACCATAACAAACAATAGTAAAAGCATGATTTTTATACATAAAAATCAATAACCCAATGCATATTTGCATATTTATTCTCTGATTTTAGCAATCTTTATTTTTCTTTCTAGTATTTTTATTGGGTTGATGAAATGATATTCACTGATTATTAAAGATGAGAGTAAAAGAATTTGTTAATCATTTGAATATATATTTAATAGCTAAGCAGAGGCAATATGTTTTATAAAACTAGTGGCAGAAATAGGGTTAATTTGTGCAATCAAGTTCAGAACTAAATTTGCACTATAAAATTTAGGTTTGAATTTGCATAATTAGAGCTCAGGTAAGCATAATCTAAATAATCTATATGTAATAGATATTTTATATTTTATTATAGATATTAGTATTCTTATGAACTAAACTGAACTAAACTTTTGGTTAAGTTCAAGTTCAGTTCAAAATTGAACTGAACTTGAACTTTAACATTTTTTAAAAAAATTTAGTTCAGGTTCAATATTGAACTTTTAAGT